CAGCGGCCTTCCCTCCCACTGAGGCCTTAGGCTGAAGCTACTCCTCCTGACCTTCCCAAGCCCTTCCACTCCTCCTCTGGGAAGCCCTCCCTGCCTCCCAGGCAGGCGTCCCTTCTGTGAAAGATTAGAATGAACCCCATAAAAGCCCCTGTATCTGATACCTGACCATCTTAGCCTAAAAGAACAAAACTTTTTATAATGCAGTTTCACGTAGTTGAAATGAACAGACGCTGTGCATATGTCTGGAAAACATCGACTTGGCATTATAATACGCCACTTAAAATAATGAACATAACTTGCATATAAACCAGCTGTCGGCTTGTCAGTCATCATTTCTAGACTGTCCTGTTTATCGATTTTAGCCTCATAGTTACCCTCACTCTGAGAAAAGGGTAGGCAATCATTAAATACTTGTTGGAGAGAAGGACGCGTGGCTGGGTGGATGGAGAGATGGATGGAGAGACGGGTGAGTTGGTAGGTAGATGGATGAAGGAATGGGTGAGTAAGTGGGCTGATGGATGAATGGTGAGGGTAGGTGGATGCTGAGTGATGGATAGATGCATGGATGGATGGGTGGGTGGGAGGGCAAACAGGCAGATTGATAGGTTGGTGGGTGAGTGGGAAGCTATATGAATGGGTGGGCGGATGGGTGGTGAGTGGGCAGACAGGGAAGTGGATGGCTGGATGCATGTTTGGGTGAGAGGGTGAGTGGATGGTGGATGGAGGTGGATAGGTGGGTGGATGGTGACCAGGTGATAAGAAGTGAAAGTGCTTGCAAACACACTAATGAAAGGTCTTGTGCTCAAGAATGTAGCCCACCGAAGGGCTAACAGCAAAGCAGCCAACCCTCTGCCCAGGGCTGCCACCCCAGGGACTGCAGACAGGAGCTCACCAGTACAGGCTCTGGTCCGCTGGAGGCTGGAGTTGAGGTTCCCAGCCCAGGCCCATACAGACACCACGTAGCAGGAGCCAGGCACCAGGGCACGCAGAGTCCAGCTGGAAGTGTCTGGGCCCATGCTGGCAGGTCTGCCCAGTGGCCTCTGGGTGCCCTCCTGGTCCCAGGCAACCATGTAGCCTTCCTGCTGCCCTGGTGCTGGGGCCCAGCCGACGGTCAGCTCAGAGGGGCTGTCCCTGCTGGTAACTTTCAGCGACTGTGGAGCCAGCGGCCCTAAAGAGAGGGGCGGTTTGACTAGTGTCTGTGGTCTTGTGATGCCCCTGCCCAGCTCTTGGGAGCCCTTCCACTACCCAGGCACCTTCTCCCAGGCTCAGCCCCCGAGTCAGGGCCCAGGGACGGTAGCTGGCACTCACTGGTGTGGCCTTTGAGGCTCCGGGTGATGACTCCCCGAGGCGAGGCAATATCCACCCGGTAACCGGCCCCGGGCACCAGCCCACAGAAGGTGATTTGGGTGGCACCAGATGGCACGGAGATATTTCCGAGGAGGCCTGGGTCACCGCTGGCATAGAGCAGCGCCCGCCTCTCCGGCTCCCTGGTTGCCTCCAGCCCATCCAGCTGCAGGGTGGCACCATGGCCTGGGCTGGGCTGGGCAGCAGCATCTGGAGAAGACGCAGACCCCAGCAAGTGAGAACCCACCGCCTCTGGGCACAGACACCCACTGGTGCACCCAGCCCAGACTCACCATCCAGCCAGGCACTGGCCTGGGCCCAGGCGTCGTAGGGCCCAGCCAAAACCTTCAGCTCCAGAGCATAGTGTCCAGCAGGCAGGGGTCCTGGGAATGTGGCATTGAGGTCCCCAGGGCCCAGAGTGGTGTTTCTCTCCACCGGCCCACTTAACCTCAGCAGGTAGCCATCCCGGGCCCCAGGCCCGGCCTTCCAACTTGCCCTGAGCTCTGGGGGCTGAGGAGTCAACACCAGTTCCAGTGGGGTAGAGGGATCTGAGGGGGAAGAGGCAGACGTGTGCAGAAAGGTCTACACCACTGCTTCTCAACCTTCCTAACGCCGCGACCCTGTAATACAGTGACTCGTGTTGTGGGGACCCCCAACCATAAAATGATTGTCGTGGCCATTCATCACTGTCATTTTGCTACTGTGATGAATCATCATGTAGATATCTGACAGGCAGGATGTATTTTCATTGTTACAAATTGAACATAATTAAACAACTAAAGCATAGTGATTAATCACAAAACAATATGTAATTATATATTGTGAAATATATATGTGTGTTTTCCGATGGTATTAGGCGACCCGTGTGAAAGGGTCCTTTGACTCCCAAAGGGGTCACGGCCCACAGGTTGAGAACCGCTGGTCTACACAGTGAGCGAGAGAAGCCCGCCTCAATCTGGGCCAGCCTCTCCCTACAAGCCCGGGACCTCAGCCCACTCAGACACCAGCAGCCACCTGAGGCCCAGCTCTGGGTGGCAACTGGCGTCCATCCACCTGACCGCGGGCACTAGTAGGAGAAATGACCAGCCTGGGGCCACACATGGTGCTCGCACAACTAGCCACATCCCCTTTCCACATATAAAAAAGAGCACAGAGAAGGCAAGTGGTCTGTCCAAAACACCCCCACCCCCAGCAGCCAGTCCAGTGAGCAGCAGGACAGACCGCAGAGCCCAGGCCGTCTGCCTCCTCGGCACACAGCCGCCAGCCAACAGAGCTTCCTGGAGTGAAGTCAGCCGGGCTCTGCAGGTGTCCCGCCGGGTTCCTACCCACTCAGCCACCTGCAGCTGGGTGACCTGGGGTTCCTGCCCCTCGTGCAGCCCAGCTCCCTCGGCTGTGGAATGGGGGTGACACCACTAGCATGGAGACCCCCTGGCTGACGCACTAGACTACAAGTCCAAAACTGGGTGGGCCCTTCAGACCCACCAGGGACACCCGGAAAACAGGCCTGTGGATCCGCTTCCAAAGGGCCACAGCCTTGAAGACCCTCCCCGGAGCGGGTGTGCTCTGCACGTATGTGTCGGGACGGGCTTGGCAGCAGCTAACAACAACTGCCACCCGCATGAGGGGCATGAGACGCCACCTAGCATCACCATCATCTTCTCAGACGGGTGCCTGTACAGCCCACTGGAGGGGCACAGCTCCCTCCCACAAAGGGAGGTGATGGATGTGGAAGTCTGTGGGGGATGGCACCACCCAGGCCCTGTGGTGCCCCAGAGGAGCCCCTGCCCCACCCACTGTATCCTGGCCACTTGGCCCAGTGCTGCCTCCCACCCCCACGGGTACTCACAGGTCCACTCCATGGCATTGGGCCCCACTGCCCGAAGGGGGCCAATAGCAGCAGTAAGCATCAGTTGATAGGGGGTGCCCGGAGAGAGGTGCAGGAAGGTGTAGTTGGAGACCCCCTGCCCAACGACTGTGCTCACGTTGGTGCCCCCCAGGAGGTCCATGAGCAATAGATGGAGCCAGGCAGCCCCCTCTGAGCCGTTCCAGAAGGCCTGCAGGGTGCCGGTGCCCAGGGCTCGCAGCTCCAGGTGACCCGGAGCCAAGGGGGCTGGAGGGGACCAAGAGAGCAAAGTTAACACTGGGAGCCCAGGCCGGGCCACAGCTGCCCGTGAGGCTCTGGGCTCACACTGCCCCCCACCCCCCCAGCCTCGTCACCGACTGGGGCCTTGGCCACACGCCCATTGCACCTGTCCACTGGTGGATGCTGGTCTTTGCGTGGAGGCTGCCAGCCCAGGTGGAAACCTCCAGAACGTACTGGCTCTCGGGCATGAGGTCTCCAAAGCTATAGGCCCGGGTGTCCGGGGGCACGGAGATGTTGTGTGCCAATGTCTGGGATGCTGGGTGGGAGAGCAAGAGCCAGTAGCCATCCTGTTCCCCAGGAGCAGCACCCCACAAGGCCTGCAGGCTGGTTGGGCTCCCGGAGCTGCGGAGCTGCAGGTCTTGGACCGCCATCGGGGCTGCAACAGAGGCAGACGAAGCACCAGGGTCAGAGGGCGAGGGGTGTCACCCTCACCTTCCAGGGCTTCAAAATGGGTCATGTGGCCTGGCCTGGTCCTCGAAGACACTGTCTGCGTTGGGCGACCCTGCCCTCTGACTGCCCTCCAGGGCAGCCACCTCCCGCCAGTGTCCCACATGCAGGCCACGCACCAGTGCGGGTAGTGAGGGTGGCGGTAGCATTCTGCGCACATGCTCCAAGGGCAGTCACCTCCAGCCGGTAGCGACCCCCGGGCACCAGGCCCTGAAACTCAAAGCTGGACGCGTTGGTGTGGCCCTGGAGCGGCTGTCCGTCAGGAGCACCCAGGTGGCTCAGGTGGGTGAGGTGGAGGGCATGCCCAGGCTCCCCTGACTCGGGGGCTGCCCAGCTCACAAAGAGGCTGGTGGATTCGCCCTGGCTGCTGATGTTCACTTCCAGGGGGAGTCCTAGGGAAGGGGGGCTGCCATCAGTCTGCCATCACTCCATTGGCTCGGAGGAGAAGGGCAGGCCAACAAGGGCCTGAGCAGAAGCAGGGTCTGCAGGAGAGATTGACCCTGTACCCCGTTCCCAACCTCCCGCCACCCCCCAACCCCCTGCAGACACCCACCTCTATTCTCCCTGTCTGGGCGCCCTTCCAGAGAGGGGCATCCATCTTCCTGCGGAAGGAGGGAAGAGGGAGGGGAGGAGATGGATATGGAAGCCCAGGTGGGGGAGTCGGGGGGTGGGCACAGAGTAGGACCCCAAGAAGGTTTGCCTCTTGCCTGACCCTCGCAGCCACGGCCACAGGGTCATATGGAGCGAGGCCAGTCCCTGGGCAGGCGAGCAATCCGGTGTCTGGCTCCGCTGGCCCGGTGGGCGGGAACAGCCTCTGCTCCTGCCTAATGCAGGCCAGCTGTGGGGCCCCTTGGAGAGGCGTGGGGCTGGGGCAGGCCCGAGAGAGCAGGGGTCCCAACCACCAGACCTGCCCCCACCGCCCATGCCCACCTTACCTCTGCTCCAACTCCGCAGAGCCAGAGCAGGACAGCGAGCAGGACTGGGGGCCTCATCCCAGCGTCTGCAAGGGAAGGTTGGGAAGCAGGGGGAGGAGTCAGCCCCCACCCCCACCCCCGCTGCCTCACCAGCCCTCCCCTTGCCCCGCTGGCTGGTGGGCGGGTAAGGGTAGCAAGGCCAGAGCTGCAGGCTGGCAGGGAAGGGCAAGGGCTGCTCTCCACCCTGGGACCCTGACCGCCCCCTGTCCCCCCATACACCCACCTACACAGACACACACACAGAGACACACACACACATACACACACACACACACACAGGCCTGCCGGTCCTCGGCAAGGCACAGTGAAGGGGGGTGGGGGGCTGGCTCGGGGCCCAGAAGGTGGACAGGACTGTAACTGAGAATGCAGACAAGCCCACCTCCTCCCTCTGCCTCCTGCCCCACTTCCAGGGAGCAGAGGTGGCCCTGTGGGAGGGACTGGCTTCCTATTCCTGACCCTGGGAGAGGCTGCGGCCCCATCAGCGAGCAGGAGTGAGGCAGACAGAGCACGTGTGCACATGTGCACACGTGAGCATGTGCAGTATGTGTGTGTGTGTGTTCGCGTGTGTGTGGTGCGTGTGTACATGTCGGCGTGTCCCTGTGTGTGGGGTGGACGGACACGTCCCTCTCTGGGGCTCCTTGTGGCTCCAGGTTCTGGTTTCAGAGGCTCAGTCGCACACTCACCTTGGAGCCTCAGTCACCTCCCGTCATTGCCCCAGGAGGAAGCCCACCTCAGGAGAGCGGAAGAACCTGGCCCACAGGGTGTGAGGAGAGGCGCTAAACTTGAACCCGAAACTTTGACGCCACTAAGCAGCACACCCTGCCTGCTCCTCACTGTGCCCCCCACCCATAGGTGCCCTTCAATGGAAGACCTCTAAGCAGCGGGTCTCAGCCTCGGGGCTTTTGCTTGCCTCCCCACAACCTCCCACCAGTTCCCCGGCCCCTCCCACCCTGGCCAGCTGCCTGCCAGGCGCTGCTGACCCCTGGGCTGGATGACACGGAGCTTGAGACAAGCTTTACCCTACCCTGGGCCTCCACCACCTTCAGCTGCTCTCCCAAGGCCCCCCACCCCCACCCCCACCCCCACCCCCACCGCCACTCCTGGCCCCAACAACCAGCAGAGGGCGGGAAGAGGAGGGAGCCTGGAGGGAAAATGGCTCTGGGGCCTGGGAAGGCACCCCAGCGCTCAGATGCAAACTCGGGAAGTGGGGAGGGGGACTGGAGGAAGCCCACAGGTAGAGGAGCTCTGGGCATAGGGTCCCAGGGCCCAGGCCCAGCAGGGAGGCCTGCTCTTCGAGGCTCAGCCAGGGCTGCCCGCCGCCCCCACTGCACCAGCCCAAACCTCAGAGCCGCCGCGGCCCTGGATGGGGGCCTGAGACCAGCAGGGTACACTCATCACATTTTCCAGGCGGTGTGCGCACGCTCCGGGGAAGCTGACGTGAAAGGGAGAAGCTTCAAGTCTGGCCAAGGGGGGGGACGGGGGCACTTCCTACCTGGGTCCCACCCTGCCCCCCTCACCTGAAGGCAGCACCTCACTTTGCTCCTAGTGGAGTCTTGATCCACGGCTGCTGAGGGAGGAGTGGACACATGGTCATGCAGGACCTAAGCAGAGGAGATGCACCCCAGAGAACGCATGTGTGAGGACGCAAGGGATCCCAGACCCTTCCCCGGGGTCCCCACCAAATAGCATCCCGTGAGGCAGCACAGACTCCACAGCCAGCGCCATGGGCAGAGCCTGGCAGGAGCACCTGGCCCCGGAGGGCACACAGGCTGGTCCCCCACCACCACAACCCACCATCTGGGGCAACCCTGTAATGGGCCTCAGGGTGAGCAGCAGCCTCCTCAAGCCAAGCCTCTCCATTCAGCACAAGCAGGACCAGCCCCACTGGCTGTGCCTCCTCCTGGCTCTGCCCCCCATGACAAACCCACATCCTCTCCCTAGAGAGAGCCCAGGGCCGCCCCAGGGTTCGAGCACCTTACTGGTCCTTCTGGAGAGCCAGCTGGCCCAGGCGGGCAGGTGCAGGTCCAGGAGTCCCAGCTCCCAGTGTGAGCCTGCCGGGCCTCTCCCCAGTATATCCTCCCAGCCCTCTTCCGGCTCCTCCCCTCCTGTTCCACAGGCTGCAGCCTGGCCTTGGGCATCCCCCAC